CACACCTTATAAATATTTATTACTATTTTTCTTCCGTGTTTTTATTTACTCGCGTATTTCTGATATTCCTAACGCATCGCTCGTTCAAAAAAAAAAAAAACAAACCCGGACTGGAGTGACCATATCTGCTGGTCCCTCTGCTCTTCAGTTCCTCTGAACCAGAGGGAGAGATTTACTATACATTAATACCAGCCATGAGTGACAAGGCAAAGTGTATTTTTAGAAAACAAGTTGGTGGTTCAGGGGATGGGAGTCATGCGGCTCCCAGAAAGGCCAGTTCACAGAATCACAGAATCTTCATGGTTGGAAGGGACCTCCGAGATTATCGAGTCCAACCAAAAAAAAAAAAAACAAAAACAAAAAAAAAAAACACAAACAAAAACAACAACCTGTCCCTGTGTGTGCACCCTCCAGTGCAGGCACGAGGTTGTTCCTGCGAGGCCGGGCAGGAGCAGCCTTTGCCAGGAGCTTCTCTCCCACCCCGGCAGTGTCTGGCTCGGGCTCTGCAGGCACCGTGGTGGGGGGGTTTCCCGGTGGTGGGGGGTGTTTCCCGGTGGTGGGGGGTGTTTCCTGGCTGACGGGGACAATCTGTGCCCCCGGAGGGTTCTCACCCCGTACCGAGACCTTTCCACGGCACCGTCCCACACACTCAGCCTTCCCTCCATGGGCAGCACCCAGGGTTTCCTCCCAAACCACATGAGGTGCCCTCAGCCTCTCCAAAGGTTCGGATGCTGCTCGTGTTAAAGCCAATCAGGAAAAAAAAAAAAAATATAATAATAATAAATAGATATCTAATTCTCACGGTGGCCAAAAATCTCTCCAAAGAGCGCAGCAAATGTCAGCAAAGCGGAGCTGCTCCTCAATTTGCAGCAGCCTGTAACGAAGAGCCAAGAGTCCAGTTGTCCCCTGGTCCCCAGGGAGCATCATGCAGAGCCCAGGGGGATTCTCCAAGAACCCCCCCACGACACACACAATGAACACCCCCGCACACACCGTGACCCCACGCACCAACGGCCACCGCGCTGGGGGGAGATAGACCCCCCCCCCCCCCCCAAAAGAGTACCCCCACCAGGGCAGGTACCCTCACCCCAAATGCAGAGATTGAGTCCCCGGGGGGTGTCAGCCCACAGCAGCTCCGCAATCTCTGCAGAACAATCCCACATTCAACCAACAAAAAACTCTCTGGACGACAACAAACTCCTCTTCCTACACGTGACCCCGTGGTCCACAGCTAAAGGCACCACAAATACTATTGCAAAAGAAACAGAAGATAACAATCTCAGCAGGATTTATGATAAAAATATAGTTTTAACGCCCCTGTTAATTTCATTTGTAACTTCATGGATGTTTTGTTGGCAGGAGGAACGCTGAGCACCCCAGAGCCACGGCAGACACAAAGAAAAGACCTTCCAGAACCTGCTCCAACACCACAATTCCCTCTTCCCAGCTCAACAGCGTCGGCAGCATTTAAGGATATGTATCAATTCCTTCATCTTAATACATGTGAATTTATCTACTGGGGTAGGAACAGAAAGGGAGACCGAAATTGCTTATATTTAATATTGTAAGAACATGCAAAGCTTAAATACGATACTCTTTTTCAGGGAAAAAAATCCAGATTGTGGGAAAAAAGGAATCGTTCCTGAGAGGACGCTGCACTACCTGCTACTTCCTAGGATGGCAAAAGCATGTAAATCACCACTAATATTTTAAAATTCTATTTATTTATAGATTTGTATCGTGTACCCATCACTCAGCCCCTGGCTGCACGTACACATATTAAAATACTACACATCATTTGTCTGGAAATGGCAATTTAAATACATCCTTGCTCCTGGGATAACAGATCTTTGCGCATCCTTCCCCAAGCAAAGGCCTGAGCCAGGAGCCACCAGTGGTGAGCGAGGACCAAGGGCAGAGGGAGCATCACACGGTGACACCGCGATGGGACACACCGTGCCCTCAGCTTGGCCAAAACTTTGGACACTGGAAACTCACAGAATTTTAAAGACACTTGGATCAACCTTTGAAATATCTCTGTCATATGGATGAACTCAATAGGAATTATTATAGGATATACTTACAAGATCTGCCTGGCACTGGTTTCTTAGTAGAAGGTACGTGGTGTCACCCATGGGGCACCCACAAGTCTTCGGTTGGGCACGTTGAGACATGGAGCCCCCACCTCGTCCGTGCCTGGGGGGGATGCACCCCTCCATCCCAGCTCACGCCGTCCAAAATGGGGGGAGCAGCCGCGGGGTTCAACGTCACCAGCTGCACCTTCTGCTGGGACACAGCACCGAGGTGAAGGTCACCCAAACCACCGGCCGCCAAGGAAGAAAAAAAAAAGATCAAAAGAGAGCAATTACTTCGAAAAAAAAAACCGCTTTCCAAATGCCATGGCGGGTAGGTATGGCTGCGTGGTGCACCTCCACGTTTTCTGCAGTTAAAAAACAAAACAAAACAAAACAAAAAACAACAAAGATTGACAGGCACATGTAAAATCCATCCGAGCAGCACCACATTTCCGAGGCCCTTCTCCTCCAGCCCCCGGCTCACCCCGGCCACGCCACCGGAGTCAATGGAAATGCTCTTGTAAACAAGGGCTTACAAGAACCCAACGCCACAATGGTTTCAAAAGGCGTTTTGACTGTGCAATTGTTGCTGGATTAAGGTCTTCAGAAACACCCAGCTCCCTCTGAAGAGCAGGGAATTCAAATCTGCAAAGTGCTGGGGCCTCCGGAGCCGATCCCGGGAAGGACACGCTCAGCCCAAAACGTGGGACCGGCTCCCGGGCACGACCCCGAGGAAGGGACGGGGGCTTGGAAAAAAAAAATGCAGCATCTCCTCCCTCCCTTTCATAATCCACCGACCTCAACCGAACCCGATCACATCGCTGCCTAAATTAACACAGAATAAACTGTACAAGTACCTCATTACCCAAAAAAACCCAAAAAACCGCCAGAAAAAAAAATAATAAAAATAAAAACCACCAAACAAAAAACCATGTAGCACACGTTTTCTACAAAATAAACCCACTTGGTGAAATTCTCAATTTCAAATAATTGATTCAACAATGAAGCAGCAGCACAGACCAGAAGCGCAACCAGCGTTATTTATCAACAGCGCTCGCCCACAGAAGTAAAAGTTTGTAATTAATAGATTCGCTCATTACTTGGCTTATGTAAATGCAAAACCAGAGCAACAAAACACAGCAGCAATACCAAAGACAAATAAATGAGTTAGACACAGAGTCCATGAGTTTAAGAAGTCTCCCCTGTATTTAATAAAGCATGAATTTTTTTTTTTTTTTTAGAAACACTAACAGATCCCTTGCAGATATTTTTTTATCTTTTATCTTTTATATTATTATATAAGACATTTGTGTTTAAAGTGAACTATTGCTTCATCTAGGTGGCCCCTCCGCCGGGCATAGAAACTAGGTTGTGAACAAAATAAAAAATCACCATTGAAAATTACAAATCATACAACTTTAAAGCATTTCAATATTATTTTTTTTTCCCCCTCATTCCAAAGAAATAAATAATTGAATCGCTGGGAATGTAGAAGTCTGTGTTTTAGCGTAAATTTCTGTCTCTATGTAAAATAAAAAAAAAGAAGCCAGAGTCACAATTAGTTGAGAGACGAAGGAAAATATGCAATTATAGTTCATCCCATCCTATTAGCTCAGCAGGTGGAAAACATTGAAACCAGTGACTTTTCAGAAACCAAACCTAATTCTCTGCTTCTACCACAGGTCAAAGTCCTCTCGGAATCACCGAGACTTTTGCTTTTGAAGAACTGAATGTTTGGGATTCGGCAATCATTTCTAATTAAAACATTAAATCTGTCATTTCACACGGTTCCAGATATTTTTTTTTTTTGTTGTGTTTCATTTCTCTCCAAGAAAATGAGTCCGAATCTAGTGCAAAGCAAAATCCTCTCCCCCGCTGCCCTTCAGAGAACATCATATATACCAAAGGCTATTAAACAATTGACTTTGTACCAGCTCTAGAAAAGGATTAAAATTACTTTCATGACATTGAGGTTACGCTGTGTTCAAAACCATCCAATTAGGGAAAGAAAAAAAAAAAAAAAGGCAAAAAAAAAATACCTTCAGAGAATTAATTTAACTAAAAACAGATCAATTAAAAACCGTATCTTTGCGAGCTTTTTTTTACATTTACAACACAGTTTTGTTTACGCATAAAATGAGCATTTCGAGTATGTTTTTCTCTTCGCACAGAGCAAGAATAGGTTAATATATTTAACAATCTGATTCGTTTCCAATTGTGAGCCCCAACGTACAGCGTCACACGTTAGTTCTACTTCAAGCACCGAGGCTGCAGCTGGAAAGAAAAGGCTGGAGCTGCCTCTGTCTGCACCGACACCAGGGCTTAGACTTCCACCAAAGAGCTCTACAGGATTATCAGCCCAGTGGATCGTCCTTTCTCTGGGCTATTTTTTTACTCGAGAGAATCAATTTTAAAATTGCTTAAAACATCAAATGAAACACGAGTTATCTAAACATCAGATTTTCTAATTTTATTAAAAACGCACAAATTTTATCCAACATGTTTTCTTTCATACAGTGAATGGTCTAATATGCACTGGAGGTCACACAAGCTTAGGTTTATTAGAACAATAAAAGACATATGAGAAATTTAATATATAAAGAAAAAAGTAGCAGCTGTTGACTGCATATTTGACCATAAAATTTAAATATTTTGGACTTTTATTTTAAAGACACAAAAATAAAACCTGTGTGGGTCTATATAAGTCATATTAACAATTCCATGAATGTTCAACAGGACTAAAAATTAGCAAAGATGTTTGTTTTTTGTTTTTTTGTTTTTTTTTTTTTAACCTTGTAACACTTTTTAAACACCTTCTCGGGTTGCTGGTGCAAAGCACCTTACAGTATTTGTGCTATATATTTACTTTATTTGGCAACTGTCTGGGTTTCGTGGGTTTTTTTTTTTTTTCTTTGCCTTCTGTAAACAACACCTTTTACAAACTAGCACAGTGAACCACAAGCCCTGCAATCGGTTATAACATCTACAGAAAAGAAAAATGAACTATTTTGGTTGGTTGCTCAAAATATTTTGCTTTTGAACAAGAGGTTCGAAAACAGGATTTATTAGTAAAACATTGAACTCCTGAATTTAACATTAGACGTAAACAGTTGACTGTTTTTAGTTCAATAGAGTCTTTTTGTTTAGCTTTTTCTCTCTCTGTGAAGGTAGAATACTTTTTGTTTGTTTGTTTGTTTGTTTTTCAAGTCATTTTTCGCTAGAGGTCTGGGTGGTGACCTTTGCTATGATGAGGAGGTTTTGTACGTGTAGCTTTGTGAAGGTAGAAGAGTTGGTGCTGAGGGCTTTAACATTTAGTATTTGCTATTTTGGAAAACAAAAAACCAAAACAAAGGAGAGAAAAAAAAAAAAAAAAGGAAAAGTTGTCCCACCTGATAGTCAGCAGGCTGAAATGGCTGAAGCTAAAAAGAGTTTCTTGTTGTTGAACTTTCTGAGAGACAAAAAAATTAGCAAACAAATTCAGAATGCCAGAACCATCCTTAACCGGGAACGCTAGAGTTCTTGAAGCTTTTTTTTCCCCCTTTTCTTTGACCTTTCCTTCATTCAATTAAATTGTTTTGTTTTGTTTTTAAATGAGAAGTTTCTAAGGATTTGTGGCTCTTAGGATGACATCCGACAGGGTAAGCAAACTTAACGCCATCCTAGGGCATGGCAGCACTTTACTGTACAGCTTCACCAGTTTCTTTGTCAATGGTACCAAAAAAAAAAAAAGAGTCCCCTTGCTTGTTTGATAACAACCATAACAGGAAGATTGTCCTGGTCTAGAGCAAAGCTTGCCCTTGGAGCGATTTGGATTTCAGTTCGTTCCCAAGGTAATATTGTCTTAGGGCAGGAGAGATGTTATATTTATTCATTTCTGTACACCGTAACAATAAGCAGACTAGATGATCATCACTTACTTAGAACCCAGTTTGTTTTAAAGCTACCACACAGCCGCTTCGTTCATTTCTGGTGGATGTGACAAGTGATTGCCATAATTAGCACCACCGTTGACGGATATCGAAGAAAACGGAGGACTGGGACCAAAAACTTCTGCTGACATGGAGTGCAAGGACCCGGGCAGGTTGGGTTCGGGGCTGGGCGAGTCTCCGGGGGGATGGGACATGATGTCGGTGAAGCGTTGAGCCTCACTGGAAGGGTGATGTCCAGGCAAAGGGTGATCCATGGCCCCCAAGGGAGTGCCCGACGGCCCCGAGGAGGGCACGAAAGGGAGATCCACGGGGGTCTGAGCTTGAGATGAAGGTGGTCCTTGAGGGAAGAAATCATAATTGCTTCCAGGGCCGTAATATTCGCTCTGATAATCTGCTGGACGAAGAGGAGAGACAGAAGGAAGGTAACACCACACAACAAGGAGAAGCAACCCGAGTCGGAAAAGACACCCAAAGAGCACGTATCAACAGTGGGACCTCAAAATATCACCCAAAACTCATTGAACCCAAGGGGGACACCTGCTAGCCGGCTCGGGTGGCCGCGCCACGGCGAGGTGGCCCCGGTGTGGCCAAAGGCCACACCGGGGCCACCTCGCCGTGGCGCGGCCACCCGAGCCGGCCAAGCGTGAAGACAAGGGGCCACATGAAGACACGTTACCCACCTCCGTAGAAGGAGAAGGGCCCGTTGGGGATGAGTTCCCCGGGCTCCAAACGGTCCACCAGCGGTCGCATCCTGCGTGGGCTACGGAAGAAGGCATGTCGGCGGGCGCCCAGCGCGCTCAGCTGCTTCATCCGTCGTTCCTTGGAGCGCCGGTTTTGGAACCAAACCTGGAAGGACAACGGGAGATGGTGACCATCAAACA